AAAAAAAAAAAAAAAAAAAATAGCAGGGGCAATATCTATTTTATACCACCCTTATCTATTTGAAGGATAACCTAGTAATCTGCCTTTTGCAATTGAAAGAATATTGTATAATCCATACGTGACTGTACTGTGTAAATAAAATCGAGTCTGTTAACTTTTCACTTTTAATACCTCTCAAATTTCTATTCTTCTTATTATCCCTTCTACAGTCTTACTCTCTAATTCGTTTTCCACATTTCTAAAAGTTAATCACATCACTTCTTGCTCAAAATTCTTCAATGGCTGTTCACTGTAGTAGGATAAATCCCCCAAAGCTTTAAGATGAATCTAAATTTCTCACTTTCTGGCACTTTCTGACCTAAAAGTGGTCATTTTTATCCAGGTACACATGACAATCACCCATAGAACGTGTTTTTGAAATACATGTATCTGGCTCTATCCCAGAAACTAGTTCAGCAAGTTTGGGGAATCACCTATACTTTGATAAGCACCAGAGGTAATGCAGATGCCTACTAGGAGCACCTCATCTCTTACCAATACCCTCTCCATCATCACAAGATATCCTTCAGAACTTCTCAAGATTCTGTGCTGCATGTATTCTTCCACCTTGTACCTATACTAATACTGTTTTCTCTGGCAGGAATGTATCCTCCTCTTCTTTGCTTAACCCTTTCTCACTTGTCAAAGCTCACTTGCAAAGCTTTTTCCAACAAAATCTTTATGAACCCCCTCCAAACTGTCCGATCTAAAAATTCTGTGCTTCCTTTAGCACAGCCCTCTAACACAGTGTTACACTACTACACTATACACTGCTTGGAGGAAAGACTGAGGTCTCTTGTCTCTGTACTCTTATGTAATACAGCACTCTCGCACATAGTTGGTACTCTCCAAATAACTGGTAAATGAATGTCCTTAACACTATGTAATAAAAATTATTATAGTTTTGGGTGAGGTACTTAAAAAAAAGTTTTACTCTACAGAACAAGTGTTTTAAAAACAGGCTCTATAAAAAATAAATTAGCTGGCTGGGCATGGTGGCTCACGCCTGTAATCCCTGCACTTTGGGAGGCCAAGGCAGGTGGGTCACTTGAGGTCAGGAATTCAAAACCAGGCTGGCCAACATGATGAAACCCCATCTCTACTAAAAATACAAAACATTAGCTGGGTGTGGTGGCATAAGACTGTAATCCCAGCTACTCAGGAGGCTGAGGCAGGAGAATCACTTGAATCCGAGAGGCGGAGGTTGCAGTAAGCCAAGAT